GGGGAATTCTGGGAGTTGAAGTCCACTCATCTTAAAGTAGCCAAGTTTGGACAACACTGAATTACGGTATGTATTTGGAGAGATCAGCGCCACCCCGAGTTGGCGGACTGGCGTGTCCTACAAGCCCTGAAGATAAATAACGACCAAACAAACAAACTTTTATATGAGATGGGTGGCTATATAAATACGATAAATAAATAAAATAAATTTAAAAATTGATAACTTTTATGAATATGTGCTGTGGCAGTCTGGGGATTGACAGTCAAGGTGGTGGGTTTGCAATTGCACGATAGAAGCCTGGTCTCTTTTCTGCATGTGTTATGCGTGCAACACGTGTAAAAAGGGGGCGTGGCTCTGGATTCAGTCACAGCCTCCACTTTTTCACTCTTTCACGCCCTGAATATACCAAGTGAGATTATTTTTTTTTTAATTTTCATTTGAACTCCTTTGAAAATTACTTAGGCAATGGTATACTGGCAATGTTCAGAACCAGAAATCAGCTGTCCTTGATATAAACAGTTAAATAACACGCACGCATGAAAAGACTTTCATTTCCTGAAATTACTTTCAGATCACTTTTCAGCACACTGATCCTTTGCTGAAATCAGTGCAGTTAGAGCAGTGTTTCTCAACCTCAGTAACTTTAGGATGGGTGGACTTTGCCTCCCAGAGTTCCCCAGCCAGCATGCTGGGGAATTCTGGGAGTCAAGGTCCCCTCCTGCCGACTGGGGGATTCTGGGAGTCAAGGTCCACCCATCTTAAGGTTACTGAGGTTGAGAAACACTGAGTTAGAGTAATGCCTGTTTTTGCAAACTGACACACAGGTAAGGAAATATTTATTTTTATTTTTAATCAGGCGGCCCTTTGGCTTCGTTTGGAACGATTGCTTTAAATTTGCCATCTGTTTAAGTGACCGTTCTTCTACCGTGCTTTTATTAATGCTTTACTTACCGTTTTATGTTTCCCTTTCGTTTACTGCCCTTAGACAACGCCGCTCTTTACTAGGAAAGTGGGCTTACAGATTAAATAACAGCTGACGGGGCCCCTTAAGCCCATCTAGCCGAACCCCGTCTGGCGCAGGGACCCAAATGCCAGCGCCCCAGAGAGATGCTCTCCAGCCTCTGCGTGAACACACCTAGCGAAGGGGAGCCCCCCACTCTCTGGGAATCGGGTCCCTCTTTCCTCTTAAAAGGTGTTTTTCTGTCATCGTCAGAACCTGCTCCCTGCAGCTTCAACCCGTTGTGCTGGGCCCTGCCCGCGGGGAGGAGGGAGACCAGGGCACACGGCCGCTTGTGTGAAATCCTGGGCCCTTGCCAGGCGCCTCCGCGTCAGATGGTTCCCCTGACCCTTTTCTTGGGCTCCAGTGTTGCAGGAGGCGGTGAGCACTCAGGATCTGGAGCTCGTCCAGCTGGTGCTGCGCTATCGTGACTACCAGCGAGCGGTCAAGCGCTTGGCCGGGATCCCCATCCTGTTAGAAAAGCTGCGGAAGGTCAGTCCTGCCCTCGCCCCTTCCTTGATTCTCGCCTTCGTGTCCTTGTCGAGGTTATAAACCCCTCGGGGTGGTCCCCTTTCCCTGGAGACTGGACTAAGGAGTTTCAGACCATAATTACAGATCTGTCTGTCTCTCAATCTTGCAGAGTGTCCTCAGTCCACACTTTCAAACCAATACGTGCATTAAAACATTTTTCCACATACATGTCATCCCCGTTTAGCCACTACCTTGTTTAGCGACTGTTCACAGTTACAAAGGTGATGAAAAAAATCACTTTGCGACCAGTCGTCGCCTTTACAACCTTCGCAGGTGTATAAAGCAAAGGAAAACAAAAGTCAGATCATAAACACAGTCATGGTTTCACTTAATGACCGCTTCACTTAACAACCGGGTTGCCAGTCCCAATTGTGGTCACTAAACGAGGACAACCTGTATGCTCTTCTCCACCCTGTGTGATGCAGAGCTCCCTTTAAAAAAAGGAGGGTTTGAACTGCTGCACACCAGAGAAAAATGCACACCCAGATGTGTGTATTAGTGAAAGTGATACCGAAAAACCTCTAATGCTGGGGAAATCGTTGCTTGTCAAAAGTAGTTGGGTTAGGCAAAATTGTCCCAAAATACATACCTTGTGGAAAACGTTGATTATATTCAGATCTGAGCCTGGAACGAAGGTTGGAATAACAAAAAGTGAACTATGCCTACATGTTCTCTGTATCCACAGACAGATGCAAAAGGTGGTCATTTTAACCGCCTGCTTCTGCAGATTCTCGCCCTTTTTAACAATTGCAAAAATAGTCAGGAATTCAGTGGGAATTCTGCTACGGGGGGAAGACGGCAAAGAAGCAAAGAAGCAGAAGAATTTCCTTTAGGGTGGAAGCGGTCAGTCACTAACCATGAACGAGTGCAGGAGAGGATTTGAGTCAATGCAGATGTTTTTAGCTACAGGGGAGGTTTTAATCCATTTTAGTGCGTTTTTAAATGGATTAAGTGCATTTTTAAAAAATGTACTTCTGGTCAAACGGTACCATTCCTCCTTCCCAACCTCCTGAATCTGAACCAGTGTTGCTCAACCTCCTCCCCTTTAAGATGGGTGGACTTCAACTCCCAGAATTCCCCAGCCAGGCTGGGGAATTCTGGGAGTTGAAGTCCA